TATGCGCAAGTGGGATAATATACCTGTGGTATATTGCGTGTATGATGAAAGGAAAAAAATAGGAGGTAAAGAGAAAGAAGCGAATCGATGCAGTGCACACAACCGTAGCTTCATATACTTTCACTACCACTACCTAGCAATTGCACACACTTGTCTCTTTGTTTATCCTCTGTATGACATACGCGCGGCGAACAACGAGCTGCTCGGTGCAAGTAATCGAGCGGCTGGCAGCGGGAACGATAGTCAGTTCAGTACCGAGTGCGCTGACCTGTAGGACGGATAACGATGGTCGTTGACCGCGGTTAAGCGCGATTCTTTGTTTACATCGGCGTGCATCCTAAAGAACAAAATCTCGTCCGGATCTTCGGACAAACCGAGGAAGTCGCCGACGTTCTTTCTGTGACAGACAACGCGGGCAAACATGTCGAGGATAGCAGGAAGCTCTCCTGCGACAGCCACGAACAAAGGCGAACAACAGCAGCAACAGCAACAACAACAACTACAACAACAACAACAACAACAACAACAACAAGAATTCCCGTTGGGTTTGGATAAAGATGCCAGCGAGCATAGCATCTCTAGCATGATGTCATGCGTGTCCATCTCGCCAAAGCACGCGGAGAGCAGCCTCCGAGTCATGGAGAGTTATCTCCACAAGCAACAGCTGACAGACGTCACGTTGATCGCGGGTAAGCGTCGAGGTCGGCCGCTTTGTTTTGATAATAACGCACTTGATATTATTAATTATTAATTGGGATCTAAGATAATTCAATTCGACAATAATGATTAATCAACATTAATTAATCAATTAATAAATAAAAGGAATTATTATCGAATTAGTTTTACGTATAATAAAAGTTTAGAAAATTATTTTTTATTATTATCAGAAACTTTTATTCCTAGATTATTTGTTGCTATTCAAAATTTTGTTTTTTCTATAATAGAAGAAAGAATATATTCAATATACTTTTTGAACTTGAATTATGATTTAAGACATTATGTTTTACATTCTTTTTCAGTTTATACTTTTTTTTTAGGAAATAAACGTGTCCCAGCTCATAGATTAGTACTCAGTGCTGGCTCTGAATATTTTGCCGCAATGTTTACGAGCTCTCTACGAGAGTCGGCACAAAATGAAATAGAATTAATGGATATTGATGGAGATGCATTGTGGGCTTTGGTTCTTTACTGTTATACAGGTAATCCTATACCTGAGAAAATACATATTTGATTTAAGAAAATATTTCAAGGATATTATTATTACAATAAAACAACTATTTTTCAAACTGTTCTTATTAATTTTTGAATAATTTTTAATAATGAATATTTTATATAAATTTTTAGGTTGCATAGAATTACAGGAGGATAGTGTGGAGACTCTTCTTGCAACTGCATGTTTATTACAACTGAATCCAGTTATTAAAGCATGCTGTCAATTTCTTATCAAGCAACTTCATCCAAGCAACTGTCTAGGTATACGAATGTTTGCTGACACACAAGGCTGTTTAGAATTGTTTGAACATGCACATGCATACACTACCAAACATTTCATGGAAGTTACAAAAAATCAAGAGTTCTTACTCCTATCTGCTGACGAAGTTGCAAAATTACTTGAATCTGAGGATCTTAATGTCCCTTCAGAAGAAACTATCTTTCACGTAAGACTAACTATACATATTATGTTTAAATTTTTATGATAATATTTATAAATAAATTTATTATATATAAGTCGAATTATTTGTTAAGCAAATAAATTTTAATGAAATATTGAAAAAAAAATGTTATATGTAATTATAATTATTTTATATTATGTTTATTATATTCTTATATAATTACACATTAACGTGTTGTGTGTTGTATGTAGGCGCGTGCATGCGAATGCAAGCTGAATAAAATACAAAATAATAGAGTCATTATCATTGTTTTAGGCTCTAGTGACTTGGTTGGAACATGATCCAGAAAACCGGAGCAAAGATGCTAGTAAATTATTAGGTTTAGTCAAATTGCCATTGTTATCACCCGCGGTAAGTTCATTGACAGCTCGACTTTTTTACTCGATAGTATTTGTATATTAGATCAACTAATAAATCAAAACAGTTTATAGCTGACAATATTGAAAGTAACGAAATGTTCAAAGACCAAAGAATGGCACAGGAATTAGTAATGGAAGCATTGAAATATCATTTGCTGCCCGAACGAAGACCTTTGCTTCAATCAGGTAGAACAAAACCGAGAAAAGCCACTGTAGGTACATTGTTAACTGTTGGAGGAATGGATGCTAATAAAGGTAATATACAGATTAAATAATTTAATATCATTAAATATCATTAATTGCATACATTCGTGACGAACATAAAGAAAATACAATAATACAAAAAATACATTTATCTCAATCATTATTTTAATTTTTTCATATTAATTTTTTCATACGTAATAATTTGCAGGTGCCACATCTATAGATGCATTTTCACTGCGTGATAATGCTTGGAAATCTTTAACTACTATGAGTAGCAGAAGATTGCAATTCGGCGCAGTAGTAGTTGATAAAAAATTAATTGTCGCAGGTGGTAGAGATGGTTTAAAGACTTTAAATACAGTAGAATGTTTCGATTTCTCCACTCGTACATGGAGCACTCTTCCACCTATGAACGTCCATCGTCATGGATTAGGTATGTATCAACGCGGAAAAATTTGCAAAATTAATGCATGGTTTATTTCTTATTATATAATGAAAACTTAGAAAATTTGTTACGATATACAAATTACAGGAGTGGCAGTCTTGGGTGGACCATTATATGCTGTTGGTGGTCATGATGGTTGGAGTTTTCTTGATGCAGTAGAGAGATGGGATCCAGCAACGCGTCAGTGGAGTTCGATATGTTCAATGTCTATACAAAGATCTACAGTCGGTGTGGCTGTATTAAATGATAAGTATGTTTCTACAAATAAATTATCAAATTTGTTATCATTTCATTTCCGATGCGTGTTTTTCAGAAATATATCTTTTTAATTTTTTGAATTTTATTATTTGATATAAAAAATTTTTTAAATAGTTTTGATGCAATTTTTTTAATGGGCAATTTTTTTAATTTAATTTTAGATTATATGCCGTTGGAGGAAGAGATATTAGTTCCTGCTTAAATACTGTGGAATGTTATGATCCACATACGAACAAATGGACACCATGCGCGCCTATGTCAAAAAGACGAGGTGGTGTAGGCGTAGGAGTGGTAAACGGTTGTCTTTATGCACTCGGTGGTCATGATGCTCCAGCTAGTAATCCTAATGCTAGCAGATTCGACTGTGTGGAAAGGTAAAATTGTTGTTACACATATCAAAAGTTTCATATAATGCATTATAATAATATAGGTATGATCCTAAAACTGATACATGGACTATGGTTGCACCAATGAGCGTGCCCAGAGATGCAGTTGGTGTGTGCGTATTAGGTGACAGACTTATGGCTGTGGGAGGATACGATGGTCAACAATATCTCACGTTGGTGGAAGCCTATGATCCACATCTCAACGAATGGGAACCTGTAAGTGTATAAACTATTTCTATAATGGGATATTGCAAAAGAATTGTATTTGCACATTTTTTAAATTTAAATATATTTGTTTGAAGGTTGCTCCTCTTAAAGCTGGCCGTGCAGGACCCTGTGTTGTTGTTAAAAATTTAACTAATAACATCAGACCATTCTTTTTAAACGATTAGTTGGATTAGTTAATTGGACTTGTGCGATTTATATCTGTAATTACATTAGGAAAGGTTTCAGAAATATAACAGAATCTACTCTCGTGTGATATTGCATGCATATTAATCGCATTGTTATTTTTCTGAAACAATTTTAAAGTATTAAATTTTTCGTAGCATATAGTAATTTTTATACGATTTTTATATGTTTTTGTGTTGAATCAAAGAAATTTCAATCGTTGTAAATCACCAAACATTTTTATCATTTATTTATCAATTTTGTATATATTTCGATTTTATATAAAATTTTCAATAACGATAATGTGTAGAAATTCGTGTTAATATCATGTTTGTAATTTAAAATATAAGCGTAACAAATTTTTAATAGGATATATACAATGTTTTCTCTAAATAAAAGTGACAATGCTTTTCATAAATATCTCTATTTTTCTGTGTAATAAATTATGTTTTTGCTAAAAATAAATATAAACCATATACTTAAAAGAAATTAGATATTAGAAATATAAATACTTCAAAATAAATACTGTAATCTTCACTGTAATCTTTACGTAAAATTTTATAATTTATGGTAATTTTATAAAATATAAACATTTAATAAACTTAAATCTCGATGAAAAAAATAATATACATAAGGAAATTTATTTTGCTCATTAAGGTAAATGTCTTTATTTACACATGTATATTTTGATATTTTGTAGTAATAATTACTTGAAATTATTGTATTAACTAATTAAAAGAAAACTTCATATTTCATTATTCCATACTTTACAATTATTTAATTCTCTTCTTAACAAGCTGGAAAAGTCCTGAAACAATCATAAATTATATATTTTACAAAATTGATGAAACAAAAATCATAAAGAATATAAAAATTACATATCTTATCTCTTAAAAAAAATTTCTAAATCTCTAAAAAAAATTTTTTTACGAAAATTACAATATCGATAAAAATATAAAAGAGAATATACTTTAGCTTACCGTGGAAAATCCGATGCTGGCTCTGCAAATTTGTTTCTGACCATAAATGTAGCAATAGCTTCCGCTACTTTATCTGGGACATCTTCGTGAACAGCGTGTCCACAAGCAGGTAATACTTGCATTTGGAATTTACCTATTTTCATAGAGAGAGAAAAAGAAATATTTTATTAGAAAATTGTCGCTAAAATTATCGTCAGCGTTAAAAATCGTACCTTGCATTTGTCCTACAGTGAGTTCGCGATCTAATCTATCGACTCCTGCTAATAATAACATTTTTGGTACAGGAATATTCAAAAATGCTGTGGATAATCCTTTAAACCATCCAAACCAATGCTGTTCTGTTTTTGCCAAATCTATTCTCCAAACATACTTTCTATTAGCAGTGGCAGCAGAAGACGCGGGTGGTGGCATACTGGATGATTCTTCTTCTTGAATAATATCATCTCGCGGTATAATTGGTTCTGGATTAGATTCAGACTTGTGTTGGGTTGACAATGAATCAATATCATGAGTTGCTAATTTGCTAGTTTCAATGCTGAAATGGCATATGTATTGTAATTCAATTTATTTTAATATCAACAGGAAAATATAAAAGCTTAATATTATTAAGAACTCACTAACTTCTTTATCTGTCCAGGAACCGAAACTTTTGCTGACTGTACATTCCGAATTTGTCCGCTACGAACGCTGAAAAAATAAATCTTTTAATTCTAACTTAAAACTTTATTTTGTATGTAATACATATAAATGTAATAAAAGCATCTGAAGAACTGAATTATGATAGAATTAAATTTGTAATATATTTTCAATATTATTCAAACAATAAAATTAGATTATTGGACATACATACATACAAATATATAATACAATAATTAACATATTAAAAACATAAAAAAATACTAACCACCACTCTATAGCTTGAGATATAGTACTAAAACTAGATGGCCGGGATCTCAAAAAACTTTGCATAGAGGCTAATGCATCCATTGCTGTACCCTCTACTACATCTATAACGCCTAATCCATATAAATTTGGAATTAGTGAAGCTGCTTTTACTGCTACCGCACCACCCATACTGTGACCAACAAGAATTATTGGAGTATCATGTGCAATTATATCTACAACAGCTGCAACATCCCTAAATAAAAAGCAAGTGATTTATTATTTAACAAAGATGTCTTATAAAATTTTACATTATATAAATTATATAGATAATGGTAGACTTATAAACATATAGACAATAGTATACTTAAGAATATAAAATAAAATTTTTTATAAGCTGTATATATATATATATATATATATATATATAAATACATATATATATATATATACCCATGTATATATAATATATACACATACTCACATATGTATATATAAGTATTTCACAGAATTTTTCACAAACTTATACATATTCATTCTTATTCTACTGATAATTAAAACATATAGATTTAAAATACATAATAAAAAAATATAAATATAGAATTTTTCACTCACGATGCTAAAGTATCTGCAGACAAATCTTCGTCATCTGTAGTATGAGTATCCCCATGACCTCTAAGATCAATAGCCATGATTCTACATAATACCATTGTCATAATTGATTTCTGAAAATTCATAATGTCAATTTTTTTCTCTACAATATTACTGGTATTCATATACAATACTCACTGTAAGTTCAGCCCATGTTAAACCACTATAACCACCACCATGTAATAAAACCAATAGTGGCCCTTCAGTGCCTTTGATATAAATGTGGAAAGTATTCTGTCCTATGATCACATCCTTGGAATGATCAAAATATGGATACCACTGTATCGGTTCATAATCTCTCTTTCGCTGGGTTCCCTTTGATTTACTAAATCTTTGAAAAAAGAAAAGAAAATGTTTCTATTTCTGTTAATTTCACAGAATTTATTTCAGCCTACTAATTTATATCTCGTTTTCATGTTAATTTTTCGGAAGATTCTTTGTACGAACCTGGAATTCAATGCCGAAAAATTGACGGCTGACGGTGGTAATCTGGATTTTAAAATTGACTTTTGAAGAGCAGACATGTTAATGTATTACAGAAAGAGGGAGAGACGTGATAACACCGTGTCCGGAATATTCTTCGGACTCGTGCTTTCGGTTGCAATCATATATGCAGAAAAAATACTTTGCAATGGACGATTGTGGGATTATGAAATCGGCAAGAGACGTAAGAAACAAATATGTCATTAACCGAACTACGAGCTAAGAACCGAACTAAGAAAAACGTCGATTGCAAGGATTCACATCAACGTCATAGAATGCGTACACTTAAATTTTTCTCTATTCTTTCCTTTTTTCTATTTCTCCTAAATCTTGTAGATTATTGTTAATTCTCCAACCTCTAACACATCGATTCTTATGCAAACAGCAGGGACCGAACTATTTCGAATTATCTTAAACGTCAATGCGCCCTAACTTCTCCAATCCAAGCAAAAATTACAATAGTACTTTTCTCGATGAGTTTTGGAACGTAGAGAAACTCGTATTATTGAGACAATCTGAAACTCATCGAAAAAAGATATAATTCATGATAATTCACGATCGTGTATGAACGGCAAATTATTTTTCCTAATATATAGAACATATTTTTGAAATATATAAAATAATTTATTATATGCTTGGAAGCTCGAATTAAAGGCTCGGCATTCATAGTCGATTCTTTTAAGTCCCGGTCTACAATAGATAATTTAAGCCTTAAGCTATAAAAAATTGACCAATCATAATCGATTATTCTCCTATTTTTCGACTATGATTTGTCCATTTCTTATGGTTTAAGGCTTAAATCACTTATTGTAGAGGACTAATGTGGCTCTGTGGTCGAAGTATTAATAGTCGAATCTTATGTTTAAGACTGTTTTAAATATTGTCTTAAGAAATTTTCAATCAATTACAAAGCCATATGAGCATCTTAAGACATTACTTAAAATGATTTAGAATTTGGGTTAGACGACAATTTTCCGAAAAATGGAGGGAGTAATGTTGGTACCAACGAAATCCTCTAAGCGAAATAATTTTAGTTTCTATGAATTAGTAGCACTGTTCAAGTAGTAATCTGTTGATTTGCACATTTTTGATATATGCGCGAGCAGAGAGAACCAGAGAGAAGCCTGAGAACGGACATGTCCGCGATTTAACTGTAATCTAATTTTGAAGTGTCTCTATGTCCATAAAAACATGAATATGGAACTACGTAACCATGTCCATGATCCTGTAGGTAATGTCCACGATTGCATGATTCTCATTCGTACTATGTCCACGATTTTGTAGTTTTAGTCCGTGCTATATGCAGGAGTGACAATTAGTTAGATAAAGAAAGACGATCAACTCTATCCGTTCTTGTCTCACAAAATCATGAACATTTGAAACGTAACGATTACAGCATTTAATGCTGAGTTATCAAAAGTTGTAAAGCCTGATATTAGTTAGATATTATTCGTACGAACAGGTAGCAGCGCGTGTCGCTCCTCGCATTTCCTCATATGCATTCATACCTTCGTATATGCCTCATATGCTTTCGTTTCCTCATTGTTAAATAATACCAAACGTTACCGTATCATATGAATATAATAGTAAATGCTTATCAATGATTGATTCTATGAACGATTGAACTATTCATAAACGTATCGAAACAATAACTTTTTAATAAGTATATGCGCATATGTCGCGCGACTTATTTCTTTGGAATTTATGACTTTTTGTAAATGATAACCCCTCTGATGGGTACGGCCTTGACGTGGCGGAGGGGCTGAGTATTCCGAGGGGTTTCGTATTCCAAAGACGAAGAAGCCAACAGTACCCATTACACCATTTATTAATAATTTAACAATATTACAAATAATATCTAACTTACACGAAATACTATAATTTTTAATAATCGAACATTAAATAATGTATATAGATATTTCATTAGAGAGTATCGTTTCGCGATATGCTTGTGAATCGCGCGCGCGCATGTGTGTGTGTGTGTGTGTGTGTGTGTGTGTGTGTGTGTGTGTGTGTGTGTGTGTGTGTATATATATATATGTATGAAATTCAGAATTTTTTTAGTAATGTATATTATAAACATAAATGAATGTTTGCAAACATTAACAAATTATATAATAAACGTGCCGATTTGATCCTAATCATGTTTAATCTATCCATCTATATAATTAATAACTTGGCTTTACATAAGTTAAAGCAAAATTTAATATGACGTGAGATTCAGTAAATGTTTTGTCTGGCGGAATATAAATTGATAATTATAAATTATTAATTTATTTTTGTTTAAAATACTTTATTTTGTATTGAAATCTTTGAAAGTTTATTTTTAATTTAAATTCTAATTTAATACAAGTATTGTTAATATATTTTTTTATTTACATATATTTTTTATTTATTAAATTTATTATTACTGATATTATTATATTTGATGAATTATGTAGATACAATATCTAGTATTTAGAATTTATATCATAACAATTTACGTAATATTGGCATGTTGATTATGCGAGAAATTTATTTTGTCGCTCGAATCTCACGTCATTCATTTTTTATGTCGTTCTCACCTGATTCATACACTGAGAAAAAGATTTCTTTAGATTTAATAGTTCTATTTGTTTGAATTTGTTTAACTTAAACAACTATAATTTAAAATTCAGTTAGTCGAATTAAGAATTTTTTTGTTTTGCTAGAATATACTACGTT